GAAAAAAGAAGAAGAAGAAGAAGAAGAAGAAGAAGAAGAAGAAGAAAAGTGAGAAGACAGACAGCAGTAGAGAATTGGGTGGGTGGGGGAGAGACAACAACAGGACGGACAGTGACTGAGGGCATATTACTCACACTTGGCCCTCAAGATGTCAAAGTCGCAAAATCAGCGGTCAGATGGGGTGCTTGGAAAAGGAGGACTCTATCCGGCCGCTGATTTTGCTACTCTGCCATTTTGGGGGGCAAATGTGAGTTTACTCTGAAACGAAGAGGGGATAGTAAGGATAGGGGGTGCGCCGGGAGTATTAACGTGGGGGTGGGTAGGGAAGGTAGGCATTGGCCCGTCAGGACAACCATCGACTGGTGCTACCAGCAATCAGTGTGTGTGTCTGGGCCTTCGCCTCTACAACACCCTGGGCTTCAAAATAAAAAAAAATAAAAAAAAAGAAGGGGAGACGAGGACAATAAGCAAGCACAGTAAAGGATTACAACCAAAAGGAGGAGGTGATGGAGGAAAAAGAAAGAGGAGGGGGAGGGGGAGGGGGAGGGGGAGAAGAAGAGGAAGAAGAAGAAGAAGAAGAAGAAGAAGAGAGTAGAATAGCAACGAAAATCGCCGTGCGCCAATGCATTACAACAAAGTCAATATTACACCTGCACCGACATAAAAGGAGGAGGAGGAGGAGGAGGAGGAGGAAGGAGTGGGCGTACGAGATGTAGAAGGGCGATGTGAAGAGAAAAGAGGGAAGTTGAGGGAGTGAGGCTTACATACACTACCGGTAGGGCTTTCCTTGTTGTACTGGATCGTGGGAGGGAGGGCACCTCTCCCCATGATGCGGAAGGGGAGAGGGGCTGTTGCTTCACCAAGAAGGGGTGAAGGGCGACGCTGAAGAGAAAAGACCGAGGGTACTGATTGATGATGAACCCTCCTGTGATCGTCCCTACGATTGGGGGGGGCGAAGGGATCATGGTAGTGTCAAGAAGGACATCTGCAGGAGGAAGGACCACCGTGACGGAGACTCCATTAGCGGAGGGAGGTGCTAAAAATAAAAATAATAAAAGAAGGAGAAGGAAGTGCTGCTCCTTACAATGATGGGGAGGCTGAGGCCCAAGGGCCTACTACTAGTACGAACCACTCGCCATTCGCAGAGATTTCGAATGCATTTGGACAGAACATATGTCCAGATGCATTCAACATGTGCGGATGGCGAGTAGTGCAATTACACAGTCGCCAGGGGTGGGAAGGCGTTGTCACGAGCTACGGGAGAGTTGGCTCGAGTCTGGACTGACAGGGTTTCACTTTGCATCTGGCCATGTTCTAGCAGGAAGTTATTCAACAAAAGGCCTCGCCACGCCACCCTCGAAATGTGAAAAAGGTGGTGGGTGCATCTGGCCGTGTTCTAGCAGGAAGTTTATTCTCATTTTGAAAGTTTCCAGAGTGGCGTGGTGATGCCCT